GAGACTGAAAAGGGGGACTCGGTGTTTCATCAAGATTTCCTGTGGAAATTGGTTTACCGAACTTAGCTTATTAACAGACTTCTCAATTGTCCCTCTGAAAGATGTTTATCAAACTGTCAATTTAGAGAAACTATTTCTTGTCCTGTGAGCATGCCTCAATTGTACATATCAATGGAGTGTGGAAACACCACACATGCATGGTGTGCACTCTCTACCCTCTCAAGCCCTGAGAATCATGATTTCAGTTTGGGGTTGACACTTTTAACTTGCGCGTATGAGAGAGAACTTTTGGTTCTTTTTCTGGTCAGAAATGATTGTCTTGCTGAAAGATTAACCTTCTTTGTTAGGTTACTCCTAAGATACAGACGGACTTAGTGATGAGTGCAAGGGAGACAGACAAGGAGGAAAGAGAACAGAGAAGAAAGGGAGAAAGAAAGCAGAAACAGAAAAGGAGGAGGAGGTGGAGAACAGAGGGGAGGGGAGGAGGCGGGAGGGAAAAGGAGGGGAGGGGAGGGAAGGGAGAACTGCAGTCTCCTTCCAGTGTGCTTCCTGGGGAGCGTTCATTGCTCATTATCACCCTGCATCTGGCAGTTTTGAGTACAGGTCTCCTAGGTAACCTAGACAAAGGAAATGCCTTTCTAATTCTACTTTTGAATGTTTCCATTAAGTGGGCGTGTTAGAGCTGCTGTCTCCCTGGACTAAAGATAACCTTGAAGAAGGCCTATTATTCCCTGTTACAACGAGTACATGTTTGATAGTGATCATTTAAAAGCACAAAAAGAGAAGATAGTGTACTCCTCTGGGCAGCATAGTGACACAATCAGGTTCATATGCATAAGTCCAGAGACCGCCATGTAAAATTATCTAATCCTACCACTCCTCAGAAAAAAAAAATATGAAACCTGAGCAAGGGACCTGAGCTGGCTCTAACACATTTTCTGTCTGGAAATGTTAGGAGTTTGCCTTGTCAGGGAGTGTAGTTGTGGGTCCAGAGCTTCCTCCTAGGAAACTAGGGATGCAAGGAGGTGATGACAATAGAAATATCATTTCTACTCCCCCTTCCCTGATTCTTGCTGTTTTTTCATTAGCACTGTGAAGCTTAATTTAAGAGAACAAGCATTTTGTGCTCAAAGCAAAAATTAATCTTGTTTCTGCGTAACAAAGTAGCTACTGAAAATTTGCACTAATTTTCTAATGCATTTTATAAAGGAAGTGAAAAATGCATCTATGTGGGTAGCAAACTCCATTGTACATGCATTGGTTAGAAAGCTACTGTGCATTTGGCTACAGAGAAACCAAGTAGCAATCCACTATATCTATCAAGGAATCAGAGTCACCAGAGCGGCTCCTGGATACAAATGGAGTGAGATTCTAGTTATCCTGGGCTGTGGGTGCATCCCTTGAAGAGCCTGGCACCTAGACCTCAGTGGCTCAGATTGTAAGTATACCAAAGGGGCCCAGATTCTTGGGAAATGAGAGTCAGACTCAGTAACCCTAGACCAAAACTTGATTGTTATTTTGCAACCCCAACACAGTTCTTGGAATCACATGCTGCTGATGCCAATGGCTCGGGATATGAATCAAAATGATCACAATTACATTTTTTTGATATGCAATATCACCAACATGATCAGCTCCCATTAGTAGACAATAGGTACATTCAGACCTACATACTTGTAAAAATTTTGTGTATTATTTGAGACAATACTTGCAACAGGTTGTACGAGTTAATTTTATGATAATCCATTTGAAGTTAAGAGAATGGGTCAAAGACAGGTGAAGTAATTTAACCAAAGCTGAAAAACTGCTATGGGAAGGTTGGAAGTATAACAAAAGTTCACTACGGGAACAATGACAAACAGAGAAACATAAATTAAAATAACCATATGTGTCATCCATCAGTCATCACTCACTGTAGCAGGGGACAAATCTATTGTATCTATTTACTTATTTATTTCTAGACAGGCTTGATGCATTCAAAGTGCTGGGATTATAGGTTTGGAAGCCATCATGCCTGGTTTATGTAGTGCTGAGGGGGTGGGAATCCAGGGTCTTGCACAGGGTCTACTAACTGAGTTATAGACTCAGCTGGAGCAAATATATTTTAAAAATAGCCAAGTAATAACTACCTTGGGCTTTGTGAGCATCAGTTACAATTAGGCATCTTGGCTACTCACTGCAACTTCATCTTTAGCATATAAGTAAGTGGAAGCTGTATCTTAATCAACCTTTATAAGCACAGACACAGTCTATGGCTCTTCTGCAGTTCAGTGACTGTCATCCTATAATATTCGTATCATTTTACCCTGTTTTGGTTTTGTCCTTAGAACTATAGAGTAGTAACATGAATGAGTGTGAAAACATAAATAGAAAAAAAGCTCCATGCAAAAAAGTGTATCATGCATATGATTATAGTATATAAATAATTTATCATCAAATGCACATATCAACATGTTGAATCTATTATACATACCTAACAGTTTATGTAACATAAGCTTTCTCTTGGCCTGGGTAAAGTTTATGACAGCACCAGGAATGTTCTTAAATCATCTATTTTTTTTACAATCATTTTCTAAATTTGGGAAATTTCCTTTCTATTTAATCATTTTTGTTAATAAATATTTCCCTTTATCTCAAAGCTTATAATATAAATAGTCTCTGTAGCCAACATAGTCCTAGCAAATATGTCAGAGCCTTTTTAATTCAAGACACAAGACTCCAATGACTTTTCCTAGTAGGCCTCTAGACAAAAGCTGGGGAGCCCCTGATGTCACAAGGTTAAGACTTTTATGAATTTTTGGCATCTTTGTGTCCTATATCTAGCAGTATCCATTCTAACTGGGTGTTTTAAACTACTAGGCAGTGGTAGCTAGAATTGGGATAGAGGCAGAAAGAAGGGACTGCAAGAGAGATGTGGTCAGTCTGCCCTTTCACATGAGGCTAGCCTACGTGTATACACACGCTAGCCCAAGTGCTTGTTCCCTTTTTCCTTTCTCTTAACCCCCTGCGGTACCTTCCTTCTACTACACAATATAGTGAATGTTTTCCATTTTACTGACAATTCTTCGAAGACTGTGTTTGATGGTTACATGTTGTTTTGTCACTTTAGACCCACAGATAAGGTAATACTTTCTCTCTTCTGCATCACTTTAGCATCCATCAACTTTCCATCCCAGGAGTCTATTCAAAAGTTGAGGCTGTGAGACTTTCCACTGTTCTTTTGAGAATCAAGTGAAGCCATCTGTATCAAGGGCTTAACTCAGAGATTATCAGAAGCTTAATTGTGGGAGTCTGTTAGAATCTAGCTCTGATCTGTCGAAGGGTTCTTGGGTGGAGGAGAGAGGAGTGAGGAAATACTAGATAAAAAAGACAGAAGGAGACAATAAGAAAGACAGTATAGCTTCGGGAGGGCCCTGGATCAATACCCAGTTACCTCGAGGTTCATTCCAAAGGGCTTTTTGTACAATGCCAAAAGGCAAGACAAAAGACCTACCACCAAGATCAAAGCACAATATACAGCCAAGTGTAGCCCTTTCAAAACACCTGGTAAATACTCCCATGGTCTAATCATCCCATTGTACAGCCCTGCTGTGTAAAGCAAGCTCAGATTCTTTGGGCTCCTATACTAAATTTCACCCCTTTGTCCACTTATTTCTAGAAGGGTTCTTATTCTTAAACTGTTTGTCCTTTCCATAGTCTTACCATTGTGTCTGTGCACACATTAGACAAGAGGCAATACCTGCTGAGATTTGGGCACTCTGTTTGGTCCCATTGAAGACCAGCATGTTCAGAAGCCATCATGTACAGGGTTGGCACCAGGGTACTGAGTCTGTCCTTGGGAGGTACTGAGAGCACCCAAGTGTCCCCTCATTCAATTGTCAGTGACATCTTTACTTAATAGGCCAACCTGATCCTTAGAGGGGAGAAATGGATCACAGACATACTACAGGTATTCCAGAGACTGTAGGTAAACTGCATGAATGACTAGTGTACTGTGAGATACTATATTATTAAATTCATCAGTATATAAATATTCTACCCTGTCTCGAAAAACCAAAAAAAAAAAATTCTATAGGGAGATTTTTTTTCTCATTAGACTTTAAAAAGGTGGAATGGAAATTTTTATGTTTACATTTAATTTTGTATCACCATCTTTTAAATGTTCCCAATTATCAAACCAGAAGTGATAAAATAAACATGTAATAATTGTCAATAATTAATTTTTGCTTTTCCAATTTATGAGTGATTATTTATTCTCTGTTGGTGCAAGGAGCAGGGAATCTTTTCCTTTTGAAGTGAGTGAAGTTCTTATGTGGTGTCTTTATTATTTATTACAGAACTCTAAAGTATTGAGTTGAAGTGCTTTCCTGGAACAGATCTTGCTTTGTCCCAGCCTTGGTCCTGAGTTGCATTGAGCTGCATTGCACATCCAGGATTCTACTTTGTTGTCATATCTGGAAGTAGATGATTGTCTCTTATAGCCATAATGGTCACTAAATTTTTTCAGGAAGACCTTAGGATACTGACAGTGGGCATCCAATTATTACATTTGCCAGACTTTCCAACCTCTGAAAGCCTCTGATGCAGATGATTAAAATTGGGAAGCAACCATAACATGAAGTATCTTGAAATAGTTACACCCCTCTTTTGACACATAACTCTGCTTTGCTTTCCTTATAAACTCAGTTATAGGGAACTTCTGCACAGTTAAAAAAGAACTAAATTATGCAGTGAGCCTACCATCCCATATCGAATGGTTCCCAGATGTTCTCAGTTAGTAAGAATCAGTGTTCAGCCAGTCTTCGATTGCAATACAGTCCCTGGAACTTCACCTTGACAGGAGAATCCACACTGCTGCATGGAAAGCCGTGCAAGTACTGTGAGGAGGCAAGGCTCAGGTGGTGCTCCCAGCTGAACAGCAGGTGGCTGTCTATGCTGAAGAGGATGTGGGTTGGAACACATGGCAGGGGGATGGTTCTTGTGTAGACTATTTTGGAAGCTCAAATGCCGTGCTTTAGCCATAGGAACAGTAGTAGATAGCTTCGTCATCTTCCTCCAAGGAATATATTGTCAATGTTGATGTGGAAGCACTAGAATTTTTACTTGCCTCCATTTTCTTGTGCTTCTCATCTAAGAGAATATGGGTAGGAGTTGCGATGACGTATAATAGAAACTCTAAACCTTGATTTGGTTTCTGCCGGTACCAGTGTATGGCTACACTTTTAAAGCTGTTGATGGAAGCCTTGCAGGATATTTGGACACTCTTATCTGTTGTTCTGGAAATTGATATTTCTGGTTGCTCCAACTTCCCAAGTCCAACTGTAAGTAAAGAAGAAAAATTCCCATGAGTAACTGGCAAGTGAAGAAACAGCAATCCAGACGGACTTCATCCTCTACTGGGAAAGGGCAGTGGCAACTCACAAGTCAAGAGACATGAGAAAACGACTACTTTCAGGAATGGATTCCCATCTGCCAGGCCGGCTTCCCAGGGAAGGTGTAAAGGAAGGCAGACTTGTGAGCCAGAGTTCTTCATGGTCTGCTGTAGTTCTGAATGGCTCTGGGTTTCCTGGCCCACACAAGCTGGCCAGATTAGCATGTAAGTTGTAGCTGTTCTTCTAGGGGTGGGAGGCAGTGTGGGTGCAGCCTTCTTATCTGTTCCGTCTTCCATTGCTTACTGCAGAGATGTTGCTTGGAGCTACAAAGACATACTTGCTATGCTCTCTTTCCATGTTTACCTATCTGTGATTTGCCGTGCGTTCAGACCTGGGGGAAGAAAAAACATCAGAAAAAAAAAAAAAAACAACCTTACCTTATTTATCCAACAACAACAAATCAGGCTTTGAAATGTTTTACTGACTTTACTTAATAGGCCAAATGCATAAGCACTGGATACTTTATAGGTTCTTTTTAATCAACTGGATTTCACTAAACAAATTGTGAGCCAGCGAAATCGTTTTATTTATACTCTTGATCCCTTTAAGAATTAATCAGACAACAGTTATTGGGGAATATGAGACAAACCTGCTGTGAAAATTAGTTTCTGTACTCTCTGGGCAATGGAACTTTCCATGAGCAGATGTCAGGGGCAATAGTGTTTTTAAATCTGTCTTAAGTTAAATATGTGATGAGAACTTTAACAATTTAGTATCTAAGAGCCATTGCGGACTTGTTTTTTGTCTGTTTTCTTATATTATTAAAACAGCTTTTCTGATAGCCTTGCAAGGTTGGTGTTATGAGCATCTCTATTTGACAAATAAAATCATTCAAATAGTTTGAACTTCTTGTACTTATTTTGTATTCACTAACAGAAAAAAGGCTGCTGGGTATCACTGACATTTATGTATGTATGCACAATATTTTAAGTGGGATGTGCATAACTAACTTTAATTTCCCTCCCAATTTTCCCATTGTGTGTAATAGTTCCAGTCTTTATATCTATGTGAACATCATTTTTAAGAATCTATGGCAATTAAATGTCCTCCTATAGCGCACAACCTTGTAGAAAACTAGCTGAGGTAATTAAGCTTTCTGGATCATGACTTCTACCTGTTCACCTTGCCTACACATAGGTTTTTGAAATGGTAGAAAATTTATAAAATCGTGCTACACAAAGGCACTGAATTAAATGCTCAGATATGTATGCCCTGCTCATCCTAAGTCTTCACTGTTGTCATTAACTATTATCAAATAACAAAATAATAATATCTCATTTAAGAACAAGTAAAATTGAGAAATGTACACAGAAGAAATTAAAAAACCCATTTCTTTGTAAATAATTACTCTTAAAAAATTGGGAAATATATTTCCTTTTCTAAAATGTCAAGAAAAATTTTGTATTGTTCAGAGATTATTAATCACTGTATGAAAATTTCATTATATTCCATATTGTATTTTTAAATCTTACTAATGAATATACAGACATTCATTCCAAAGGCTGTATAATATTCTTTGCATGTAGATCCTAACTAGAGATAGAGGAAAAATAGATGAATCACATGTTTATTCTACTTCCTATGTTTGCCTACCTCAAAAATCCCTCTCTATTCCCTCAAATTAACCAGCAGATCATGGATCCTTGACAGAGTGAAGAGCAAGAATGAACATGTTGATGTAATTTTGAAGATTAATTAAGTTGAAAAATAGATACAGATGTTTTCTGTACCTTCTTGTTAGAATACCTTTATTTCTAGAAGATTACTACAAGTGCTATTGTTGAAAATAAAAAAAAATAAGGATACTGAAATGTTTTATATGAAAAAAAACTGAGAATTTATTGGCATATTACTTACTTGACAAAATCACATAATTACTTGTCCTGAGCATTGCTTCAACAAACAGTGATATGATTCATCAAGTAATGTTACATTGTGGTATGTCTCCTCTATGGAATGGAAATAATTAATTGATTCTTTTATGTCTCCTGAGATGAAACAACTTAGTAACATCCCAAAAGAGCCTTGTGAGCTGAGTATCTATCCTGATTTACCAGGGGCCCTTGCCTGGATAAATGCCTCAACCATTTAGTATTTCACTTGTTTTCTGAGCTGATACAGTTGGTGAGAAAAGAATAGTAGGTGTAGCTTAAAGGAAATAGTATATATGGTGATATATTGTGTACCCCAATATATTGTGTACCCTAATAAACTTATCTGGGGATCATAGGACAGAGCCAACCACTAGACATAGAGGCCAGACAGTGGTGTCACACACCCTTAATCCTATCACTTGGGAGGCAGAGATCTGTCTGGATCACTGTGAGTTCAAGGCCACACTGAGAGAGTCGGGCAGTGGTGGCACGTGCCTTTAATCCCAGCACTTGAGATCTCATGCCTTTGCTATGAAGTATTTGAGAAGTATTTGTGGCTTGCTCTGTTTCTCTGATCTTTCAGTTTTCACCCCAATATCTGGCTCCAAGTTTTTTATTAATAAGACCTTTTAAGATTCGTGTTACAAGTATATGCAAAGGATTGAGAGCACGCATAGAGAACTCACATATGAGATTAACTATTGTCTCACCAGCTCCCTCTTGTCCTTTACAAGCATCCAATGCTGTGGGCTCGTCTAATGGCCAAAGTGGGCCCAGTTGGTTTTTGATGTCAGCATCCTGAACATTTTCCCTGCCCCAGCTCCCAGTTAAGGATTCTTCTTCCATCTTAATGTACTGCAGATATCTCAGCACTCACTTTCAGAATGGCAATCCTTCCACCTCTTAGTGTGGACTCATGGTTTAGTTCAGAAAACAGAATTTCTTATCTTTGCTTATTCATTAGGCTTCAATTGCCTAAGCCTTAATTTCTTCAATGGTACAACAGACCAAAAGTAGTTATGCATCTCTAGGTGGTCTGACTATATCGATCTGTTGATTGAGTTGGATTCTAAGCAGATAGACTATGTGTTGTAAAATGTGACAGCTGGTGGGAGCTGAAAACATGTGCATTGCCCTATGTTCCTTCTCAGCACCTCCACTAGGAGCCAACATTTTCGGAAGCCCATGGCAACTGAAACACTGGACCTTGCTTTCTCCCTGAGATAGACAATTTTAAAACATTTAATGTCTAAACCAGGTCAACAGGAAACGATGCTGACCCAGAAAGTTGGGGCCACAGTTCCTGGCATCTGTGGGGCACAGTCGATAGCCATCAGACTCCTTTTCTGGTTTCCCCTGATAGAAGTGCTGCAGGTGGGGGCTGAGGGTGAGCAGGGCTCGGGGCTGGATTGGGTTGCTCCATGTTAGGAAGGAAGTGGTTGCAGACATGCTGAGGGTGTGTGTGCTCATTGCTATGACTCTAATCACGGCAGCTTCCCAGGGCCAGCATGTCATCATGTCTTGTTTTTCCATGAAATTTGTGTGAAGGACCAAAGAAGGGGGGAAGTGTTTTATATGCCTCACATTTGTTGCACTTTACCTGTAACTGACCTCAGATCATGTTTTTCCTCCTGAGGAGATATCAGATCCTCAAAAACCTCATTTGGAGTTTTTCAGTGCCCAAGTATATATGAAAATCTGTATGTGTATAACTGCAGAGGAAATATATGCCTCCTTTCTGCAGTGGAATACATTCACTTCGTTCACTTGTATTCAATTTCTACTTCAAACACAAGAACAACATTATGAGAAATACAAAAATTACAAAAACAATCAATATCACTTAAAAGTCTCCCTCAAACAGTCTCAGGAATAGAGGAACAACCTCACAGATTGAAGAGGAAGTGAATACTTGTAGCTGTAACATCCTACCTATCTGGGCTCGGTGTCTAAACCTTAGACTTACACTCCCTAAGGAGAAGCATGGGGAATCAAGGTTCTTGGAGCAGAGGGTGTCAAACCAGGATGAAGGACAGGAGTTGTATCCTGCAGTGTTTAGGAAGAAAACAGGCACACCTAGAGCAGCCAGTCCCAAGAATCAGGTTTGCCCAGTTCTGTATGACACCAAAACAATCATCCTATTTATTGAGACAAATGTCACAAAATTTGGTACCTTGTTGGCTCTCATCAACATTATTATTTTATTGATTTCAATGATTTCCAAACCTTTGGGACATGGCTTTCTTAGCCCAGAGTTTCTTGGCCTGGTACTATCAACATCTGGGGTGTGGTCATTGGTCCTGAGGTATGAGGAGAGAGCTGTGCTATGAACTACAGAATGTTCAGCTGAGTTGTAGCCTCTACCCAGCGGATGACAGAATGACTCCACCACGTTGTGACAACAAAATGTCTACAAACATTGTCAGTGTTTCCTAGAGTAGAAGACTTTGAGCTGAAAATCATTGTTTTAGCCACATGTTTAGGAAGAGGTACACGCTAACATAATTGTCATGAGATCTTAGCTGAGATGGGAACAAAATGACACTCCTAATGAACAACAAGCATGTAAATTTTCCCTGTCACCATCAGCATCCTTTAATCTTTCTACCACCTCTTTCTTTTAGAGGAGTTTGCACAATAACTCTCACTTAGCATATAGCACTGATGTTTGGGGAGCCTTAAAAACTAAAGTTCAGGAAAACTGAATGCATAATAAGTCTTTCTACAGTTCGATGTGACTTGGGAGAGTACATTAATTTTAATTTTTTTTTACCATACAATGAGTAAAAAAAAAAAAAAGAGCTGGGCGGGTGGTGGCACACGCCTTTAATCCCAGCACTCGGGAGGCAGAGGCAGGCGGATCTCTATGAGTTCTAGGCCAGCCTGGACTACAGAGGGAGATCCAGGAAAGGTGCAAAACTACACAGAGAAACCCTGTCTCGAGAAAAAAGAAAAAGAAAATACTCTATTTCAGCACAAAGTGTTTATAGTATAGAAGGATTTGAGGGTTAGTTTATTCATTCATGTTTCACTCTGCAATCAAAGCAATAAAGTTTTCAGTTTAAACTGGGCTCAAGTATCAGTTATCAAGTGGCATGAAAGTCTCAATCTGTTAATTCCAAAACATCTATAAAATTGAGACAATGAGAACAATAATGGATATCTTTTATTTTTAATAATATTTTAATTAGGATTAAAAGACAGAGTGCTCAGAGCCAAGGCTGACACCCAGCATCAGAAGACAGTAGCTATTATCACTGCATTCCTAGGTGGAGGTTTGTTGCATTCTTTCCTCCCCTAGAGAACTGATTCTCTTAAAAGAACACTGTTCATTCAATTTTGTGTGCCAAAATTCATTTTCAGGGCTGTCATAGAAATCTTCTTATTTTTAATTTTGCTT